AAAACAGAAAGAGGGGACGATTCTTGCCTTTTTGACTTCCCAGTTGGAAGTAGAATGGTGTTGTGATAAGTTTATAGCATCAGGTGCAATTGCATTGCCCTTGCATGGAAAACTCTCTTATGAAGATCAATTTAATGTTTTCCAAAACTACCCTGGAAAGAGGAAAATCATATTCGCCACTAATCTGGCTGAGACATCTCTGACAATTCCTGGGGTAAAGTATGTTATTGATTCTGGTATGGCAAAAGAAAGCAAATTTGAACCGGGAAGTGGCATGAATGTTCTCAGAGTTTGTATGATCAGCCAGAGTTCTGCTAATCAAAGAAGTGGCCGTGCTGGAAGAACTGAACCAGGAGTATGTTATAGACTTTACTCAGAATATGACTTTGAGGCTATGCCTCCTTGTCAGGAACCTGAGATTCGCAGAGTTCATCTTGGTGTTGCAGTTCTGAGGATTCTGGCTTTAGGCGTCAAGAATTTACAAGACTTTAAATTTATTGATGCACCTTCTTCTGAAGCTATTGACTTGGCTATCAGGAACCTTGTTCAGTTGGGAGCTGTTAAGCAAAAGAATGGTGTTTTTGAGTTAACCCAGGAAGGTCGGTGCTTGGTTAATTTGGGTGTTGAGCCTCGGCTTGGTAAATTAATTCTTGGTTGTTGTGACCTTAACTTGCGTATGGAGGGTCTTGTTCTTGCAGCTGTAATGGCAAATTCCCGCAGCATATTTTGTAGAGTTGGTAATGATGAAGAAAAGCTTCGATCAGACTGCATCAAGGTGAAATTTTGCCATCGTGATGGTGACCTCTTTACCCTTCTCTCTGTGTACAAGGAATGGGATTCTTTGTCTCGAGACAAGAGAAATGTGTGGTGCTGGGAAAACAGCATCAATGCCAAAACAATGAGGAGATGCCAAGACACGGTGATGGAATTGGAGTCTTGCCTTAAACATGAACTCCACATGATAATTTCTGGTACCTGGCGTTGGGATCCACGTGAATCAAATGATTGTGACAAACATTTGAAAAAGGTTATACTTTCTTCCCTTGCAGATAATGTTGCTATGTTCTCAGGTTATGATCAACTTGGTTATGAAGTGGCATTAACTGGGCAGCATGTTAAGCTGCATCCTTCGTGTTCATTGCTAGTATTTGGGGAGAAACCTAGTTGGGTAGTGTTTGGTGAAATCCTGTCGGTTTCTAATCAGTATCTGGTGTGTGTCACTTCCTTTGATTTCAACTCTTTGTCTGCGCTTTTTCCTCCTCCTTCATTGGATGTATCTAAGATGGAAAGTCGAAAGCTTCAGCTGAAAGTGTTGACTGGTTTTGGCATTACTGTTCTTAAAAGATTTTGTGGGAAGGCAAACAGTTATCTGCTTCATCTCGTGTCCCGTATTAGGACAATTTGCGAGGATGAACTTATCAACATTAAAGTCGATTACTATCAGAATGAGATCATGTTGTTTGCCACCTCAAACAACATGGATAGGGTTGAAAGCTTTGTAAATAATGCCTTGGAGTGTGAACAAAAATGGATGCGTAATGAATGCTTGGAGAAATGCTTATATCACAGTTCTGGCATCTTGCCTCCTGTAGCATTGTTTGGAGCCGGTGCAGAGATCAAACATCTGGAGCTTCAAAAAAGGTGTTTGACATTTAATGTAATTCATTCAAAACTGGATTCTGAAGATGATAAGGAGTTACTTAGTGAGCTTGAGAAGTCTATCTCTGGTGGTATATGTGCTATTCACAAGTTCCCCAGCACTGGGCAGGAAAATGTTGACAAAGGAAAATGGGTGAGGGTAACATTTCAAACTCCTGAAGCGGCTCAAAAAGCAGCTGAGCTAAACGAATCTGAGTTTAGCGGCTCCATACTGAAGGTTATTCCTTCGCAGGTAGATCATAAAATGTTTTCATTCCCCGCTGTTAGAGCTAAGGTTTATTGGCCTCGCAGGCTAAGCAAGGGGTTTGCAATCGTCAAATGCCACATGAATGACATCTATCCCATAATTGATGACTTTTCTAACCTTGAAGTTGGTGGAAAAAAAATTCGCTGTGAGATTAGCAAAAAAAGGGACATGGATGCTGTCGTGATATATGGACTAAGCAAAGATCTGTCTGAGGCTGAAATTTTGGATGTGTTGAGGACTGCTACAAGAAGGCAAATCCTTGATTTTTTTCTGCTGAGAGGAGATGCTGTAGGAAATCCGCCATGTAGTTTTTGTGAAGAAGCACTCTTAAAAGAAATATCACCTTTTATGCCTAAGAGGTATTCCCACAATAGCTGCAGTGTTCAGGTTTTCGAGCCTGAACCAAAGAGTGTTTTCATGAGAGCTTTGATTAGATTTGATGGAAGATTACACTTGGAAGCGGCAAGAGCTCTAGAAGAATTAGAAGGGAAAGTACTGACTGGGTTCCTTCCATGGCAAAAGATGAAATGCCAGCAGTTGTTTCATAGCTCTCTATCCTGCCCCGCCCCTGTCTATCTTGTGATCCAGAAGCAGCTGGATACTTTACTCTCAAGTTTTATACATCTAAATGGTACTGTTTCTTATCCAAGATTTTGTATTCTTTTGATCTTATATTTTTTCTGTGGTTGCAAGTATATTGGCGTATTCTTCTTTTAGTGTCATGCCCTTTTTTTCATTTTAATTCTTCCTCCTTCATGTCTTGGGATTTTTATAATTATAACTTTAGCTGTTTTGTGAATCACTGTTCTCCCGGAAATAACATGTAATTGCAGCATTATGATAGAAGCCATTCTGGAGAACTTGGTTCTTGCAATGACTGAGTCTTGTAATCCTTCCAAAAGCATTTTAATTTTATAATTATATGGGAATTTACAATCTTTGGGAGCAGCCTCTCCATAAATGGGGGTAAGGCTAGCCGACACTCACCTCTCTCAGACCCTGCGTAAAGCGGGAGCCTTGTGCACTGGGTATGACCTTTTACGACCTTTTTGGGAATTTTTACAATCTAATGCACCCTTCTGCTTTATCTTGTCCAATATATTGTTATTTCTATCACTGGTTTATACTAGCAATGACTAAGAACAATAGGTTTGTTTTCTTATAGACATAGGTAGGTGTTTGACCGTCTTTATGTTTGTCTTGTTTACAGGTGTAGAATGCAGCTTAGATAGGAATGCTAATGGTTCCTACCGAGTGAAGATATCTGCCAATGCTACAAAAGTTGTTGCAGAACTGAGAAGACGTGTGGAAGAGCTTGTTAAAGGAAAGACTATAGACCACGCCAGCCTTACTCCAGCTGTTTTACAGCTTCTTTTCTCTAGAGATGGCATCAGTATAATGCATGCACTCCAGCGAGAGACAGGAACATATATTCTTTTTGACAGACGTAGCCTCAGTGTACAGGTCTTTGGTTCTTCAGACCAAGTTGGTGTGGTCGAGAAGAAATTGGTCGATTCCCTTTTAACCCTCCATGAAAATAAGCTGTTTGAGATCCGACTTCAAGGCCATACCTTACCTCCCGAGTTGATGAAAGAGGTTGTTAACAGGTTTGGGCCAGACTTACGGGGGCTCAAAGAGAAGATCCCAGGGGCTGATTTAATTCTAAATGTTCGCCGTCAAGTAATTTCCATCCATGGAAGCAAGGATGTGAAGCAGAAAGTAGAAGAGAGTATTTATGAGATTGTACAGACGTCGGGTAGTTCAACTCAGAGGTTTAAGAGTGACGTTGATTGCCCCATATGTATGTGTGAGATTGAAGATGAATACCGGCTTGAGGACTGTGGGCATTTATTTTGCCGCTCGTGTTTAGTGGAGCAGTGCGAGTCGGCAATTAAGAACCAAGATAGTTTCCCAATGTTTTGTGCACACGAGGGTTGCAGGTCTCTTATTTTGTTCATTGATCTGAAATCTCTATTATCAAATGAGAAGCTGGAGGAGCTATTTAGGGCTTCACTGGGGGCGTTTGTTGCATCAAGTGCAGGTATCTACAGGTTTTGCCCGTCTCCTGACTGCTCTTCTGTGTATCAAGTAGCAGCTCCTGGGACAGACGGTGAACCATTTGTTTGTGGTGCATGTTATGCCGAGACATGTTCCAGGTGCCATTTAGAACATCATCCATACCTCTCATGTGAGCAGTACCGGGAGTTCAAGGAAGACCCGGATTCATCGTTGAAGCAGTGGTGCAAAGGAAAAGACATGTGAAGAGCTGCCCGGTATGCAGGTATACAATTGAGAAGATAGACGGGTGCAACCATATAGAATGTAGGTGTGGGAAGCACATTTGCTGGGTCTGTTTGGAGTATTATGCAACGAGCGATGAATGCTATACCCATTTGAGGACTATTCACCTGGCCATCATTTGATATGTTACTTATCGGTCGGCTTAGAGTGTTGTTGATATATGATATGAAATAGGTAATGTAGAGTAGACACAGTATAGCAAGTAGGAGCTGCTTTTCTATTTATTGCTTCTTCCCAGCACAGCATTGCTGAGACATGTATAGGTGGTGGTGGTAGGGCTTTTCTCTCTGTAAGTACTTTTTCTCAATGTAAGTGCTTTTAACCAGACTGAACTCTAGCCAAGTTTTTCGGTGTTCTCATCAAGTTTGGATAATAAGAAACGAGAAGCTCTGATGAGATCATTGATCCAATTTTGTGTGCTTGCTTTTAACCGTCACCTCGAAACTGATCGGAAACTCTAATAAGCCCTTGTATTCAGTAATTTTTAAACTGTGATAGGGTAAGTTGCTCACGAAGCAACTCTTGACCATTGATCCATATGGAATCGACACTGCATCAATGGTTAGAAATTCCTCCGCTCGCGGATTCGGCGGCTTGCCTTAGCATTTCTCTTGTCTATGTTATGTGGCATGGAGAAGCACTCAACTGGACCACTAAATCCCCAAGAATCCTTGTTCAAATTTCAGTTAACAGAATGCTTGTTCATAATGCATATGCCCCTTTTAACCAAAAAAAAAATTTACATATTTATTTATATATACACCTATATATTTTGCAGTACAAAAATGCAATTTCAGTACAAGTATCTGCAACCGAATGCCAAGCCTACGCCGGCGATGCCAAAACAAAGTGCCAAAGCTACAACCCAAGTGATGCCATCCCCACCGTCACCTCCTTTTGATCTGCCACAACCACAACTCGGCTGATCACTCCCTTGCTCCGCCCAATGCGACTGCAACTTTGAAACTTGAAGCTCAAGCAACATCACCCATTGCCTGTAAGCAAACAACTCTTTAGCCTCCGCAAGCAACGCATTAGCGAGACAGTCTTTCTCCTTCCCCAACCTCTCAGCCTTCTTCTCCGCCTCCCTCGCTCTCGTTTGCGACAGCCTCAGCGCCTTCAGAAGCTCCAGCTTCTCATTCTCTCCGTCAATTCCGTTTCCATCCATGTCAAACTGATCGTCCCTGTGATCAGCGTCGCGATCCGAGTTCACGCTGCAAATCCTTTTCATGGATGACACAATAGTTTGAACCGAACCCGTAAATAGTTTTGCCGGCGGAGGAAGATCGCAGTTCTGTATGCGGTCTAAGCCAGCAGTCTTGTGAGAAACAGCAGTTAGACCCAGAAACATTTCATTCCCATCAACTGCTTTAGAATTCAACCTTGTGTTATTAGATATCCGCCCAGCCATCGATGTCGGACTGATCAGAAGTTGAGAAACAATCAAAGGAATTGGAAACTGCTTAATTTGTTGAGGATTGAAATGTAAACAAAAAAAAAAAAAATGGGGATATTTGGTGGGTGGGGGTGGTTGGGAGAGACAAGGATTGAGGAGAGAGAGAGAGAGAGGAGAGGGAGGGACGGAGGGAGTAGTGTGCCCGCATGAAATGGTGTCTGTGGAATTGAATACAATTGTAAATATTGGTCATTGCTTTTAGTACAAAGGTTGGAAAATTCCTTGCTTTGCTTGTTTGATTAGCTTTGCACACAAAAAATACGTTACACGGCCTAGACAATGACATCTTCAACTTAATTTTGTTTTAACTTATGAAAAAATCAATGCACTAGATATACGTCATCACTTGTAATTAGGACGATGTGAGAAAGATAATAATATTTGTATTATAGAAATTTAGAAGATTTCTAACTAGCATTCTGCCACTTAGTACATGGTCTAGTGGTATTCCTCTTCACTTGTAAATGAGAGGTCTTAAGTTCGATTCTTGCCAAAGGCGAATTTGAACTACATTATTGCTAGCCCAATGTGAGGCTAAGCTCATCATCTCCCCTTGTTTAAAAAAAATCCAAAAAAGAAAAACTAGCACGTTAAAGACTTTTAACCTGTTTTTTACAAGACAAAAATTCATTCTACAGGATCTCGATCGTTTTGAAGCGAAACAATAGTGGTTTTATTATCAAATTTTTTTTGAATAAAATCCAAAGTCCTCAAGCCAAAAGAGACTCCAACATAACATACAAAGTCATTTTGCGAAACTAGTTGTCACGTACTGGTGGATTTAAAGATGAGATAGACCTGAAATAAGCAAAGCAACATAACAAACTCTTGGAATCATCAACACCTAAGTCCAGAAGATTGAACTCGGAGTCTGGAACTCCAAAATCAAATGAGCTCCATTAATAAAATAGTCAAACACTTCACAAACTGACAAAAACCACCAAATGAGCAGGAAAAGGGTTACTACTGGCCCCAAGCAAGTAAGGGGCGACAACTATGAAACTTGTAGATCTAGTGATTTGTTATGGGGAAGCAGATAGGTGTGAGAGGGATCGTTTTGGATGCCAGGTCCTTTATTAAAGATTCGATGGGTCATTAATATTGCTAATAGTGCATTGATATCATATAACATGTTGTTGGGGGACTTTTAGGTCGAAGTGGACTTGGGCTTTGAGAACGTCTTCTTATCTCCCTTGGTTCGGTTTCGTACCAAGTCTCAGAATATCTCGAAAGAATTAGCACGTCTTAAGAATTATACCGGTTGGATTAATGACTCGAAGATAGCATGATTAAGCAAATAATGACCTGCTCAAATGAGGCATGGTGCGGAAACTAGAAGTTCATCAGTTTAATGTGTTGAGAGAGAGAGAGAGAGAGAGAGAGAGAGTTGGCATGATTGTATGGTGTTCTAGATTGAATAATTTGAGTTTCCAAGGGCGGTAGCAAGACTTACGATGGCTGGAATACTCAAATGAGGTTATGGAGAATGTTAAGGTTGTAGAGTGATGTTTTTGGGTTTCTTTGGTTCTCTTTGTGAAGCTGGAGGATTGGGCATCAAGAGGCTTTCCCTGACTAAAAGAGATGAAAGAAGTTTGGGAAAACCCTAAGGTCGCAGAAAGATGGTTCTTTATTTCTCGAAAGAGAGAGAGAGAGAGAGAGAGAGAGAGTTGGCATGATTGTATGGTGTTCTAGATTGAATAATTTGAGTTTCCAAGGGTGGTAGCAAGACTTACGATGGCTGGAATACTCAAATGAGGTTATGGAGAATGCTAAGGTTGCAGAGTGATGTTTTTGGGTTTCTTTGGTTCTCTTTGTGAAGTTGGAGGATTGGGCATCAAGAGGCTTTCCCTAACTAAAAGAGAAGAAAGAAGTTTGGGAAAACCCTAAGGTCGCAGAAAGATGGTTCTTTATTTCTCTCTAACGTTTAAACCTCTGTATTATGATGTTCTGGGTTGAGTTCTTAGATCCCCTTTAATGCCTTCTGACTCCCCTTTTTGTAGATGAATGATTCATTTCTAGGTTCCCAAGGAATCTCTAATTGTGGCTTAGTTCTCCCTTATTTCTTCCTAGTTCTCCTGCTACTCCCATATTTTGATGTAAGGAGGCTAGATTGTAGAACCTGCATCATGTTTTCTTCCCGAGGCGTTGATTTCCCAGGTCAGCTTTCCGCATGCATTACTTTTGGTGGTGCACCTCATGGCTTTCGCACGTTGGATTTCTATGTGAGCTAAAAAGGGAAAGTCTGCATCTCTCTTCATTAAATGCATGTCTGGTTGGCTTTCACATGACTCTAAAGGTCAGGGCTTGGTTCCTTCCTAACTAAGTTGGTTAGATTGCTAGGGAAAGAAGGAAACTAGGCTGGTTCTCTCTCAAACTTATCCATGTGGAATACAAAGGTTATAGGCTTGGACTTTGGGCTCCCAAGCAACCCAAAGTTTTCCACAATCTTGGCTCCACGTAGGCCCAATGAACTTTCATAACCATCTACACCACAATTCACTTGACAAGCCCCGGGCATGTGGCTTGGGCTTATCTTAGCATGAATAGTGATTTGTGTGATAAAGTTTGGTGTGACGAATATGCATGAGTTCTCACGAGCATGGTGTGATTTACACAAATGTGGGGCTTGATTAACATAGCATGGCATGATTACGAACATACCTCCTTCTCGATTTCGCACCCTTTGCATGTATTCGAGCTTGACTTGAGGCTTGTATGATAATTGGTTTCAAGACTCGATTGGGCTTGCACGTTACATTTTTTGGCCTCAACACATGTCAATAATTTTGTTACAATGATATTTACATATTGTTCATAGTCAGACTATCTTATAAGATTTCTAAACAAAATTACTTAAGGCCAACTCGACCAGTTCCTAAGTAGTACTCGAACCCTTATCAAATTGCTCCTCAAGTTGTTAAAATAATAAAAAAAAATTAAACTGATAATCGTTAACATGTCCAAATTTGATTAGTTTTTACAGTTTTTCATTTTTTTTTTGTCAAACGATAGATTTGGTAATAGGATTTTTATCACATGGAAAAGTAGTGATAAAAACATCTAAAATACTTGCAAGAGTACAAGGTAATTGTAGTATAGTCGGCTCTAGTAAGGTTGTTCTCCACAAAGATTGAATGAATAATTTGTATTTAACCCAATTCTTAATTAACTACTTAAAACAAAGTTTGGAAAAGGTTGATTTTGTAACTTAAAATAATAAAAAAGAATTTAAATAAAAATAATTAAAGAAATCAACAAAGTAAAGAAATCAAAAGAATACGGTTTTGAAAATCAATTTAAGCACTAGGGTTCCGTTGCCACCTTAACAATCTTGCGTAGTTTTTCCAATTACTTATGACTTATGTTGATGCCCAAAATCAGTGGGGACTTTGGTACAACAGAAAGTGTTAAGTTTGTGACCTTCGCTAGATTGCTTCAGTCACTAGTATGGATAAGTATGTATATGGATAGGGATAGGGAAGCAAACACAAGATGTACGTGGTTCACCCAGATTGGCTACGTCCACGGAGTAGAGGAGTTCTCATTAATTATGAAGGGTTTACACAAGTACATAGGTTCAAGCTCTCATTTAGTGAGTACTAGTGAATGATTTAGTACAAATGACATTAGGAAATATTGTGAGAGAATGATCTCTATTTATAGAAGAGAGTTTCTAGTTTCATTCTGACATCGACATGTGTCGTGTTGTGATTGGCTTCTGATGTTAACACGTGTCGCATTATGATTGGCTTCTGATGTCGACACGTGTTGCGCTGTGATTGGCCTCCTGGTTGGAGGGAAACTCTTCTGGGTCCTTGACGGTAGAACGTTGACCGATGCTCATTAGTTTCAGGATTGGTCAAGTATGGTACAAACAGTGCTCCCTTAAGTTGTCGAGTGAGGGAAGCTCCTTGGTTGAGGACTTGCAAGATCCAAGCCATTGAGTAATCACAAAACTTCTAAGTACCGAAGTGTGGTATCATTTTCACTTGCCTTATCTGTCTCATATGTAGATGTGACATCTTCTCTGGAAGTACTTTTCCTCCATCCAGGGGTGGTATCTTTAACCGATGAAGATGCCCAAAGTAATGTATCAATTTCACTTGAAGCTTACTTGTAGTTTCGAGCTTGGTCAAGTGCGATACAAACCTTATAGTAGGAGTCCCCCAAGTCGCCGAGTTAGGATATTTGCCGAATGAGGTAACAGACAAGGTAAGCAATCAAATTTCCAAGCAAGCAACCTAGATCAGAGGTTCGACTTCGGCTTTCGGTTAATTGTTCTCCTTCTCCTTGTGTCGTAAACAGCAACAAGGATAAGGAGAAGCAAATGGAGAAGAGATGAAATGAGATACTTTTGCTTTTGAAGAAGTAACTTTCCATAGGCTTATTCTTGAACTGGGCTCGAGGGTTTTCTGGTTTCCTCCAGAGTATAAGGCCGACTCAAGAATTTGAGGGTCAAAACAGGTCCATCAAATCTAGAGTACGTTCGACCCTGCTGATATGAGATACTTTTGCTGTTGACAAAGTAGTGGATGTATCGGCACGTGTTTTGTTACACTTGTCTCAACATACTTCCTTGTATCCTTCTCACTTGCCCTATCAGGTAGATGTGGTATCTTCTCTGGAAGCATAAGATGTTGAAGATGAGTACTCGAGAGCAATGCCAGGTAAGTAATCAGGCAAGGGGTTCCAGACAGTTAGTTCCTGACTGGAAGCCTGATTCCAAGTGCTGACTGATTGCTCTATTTCTCCTTGTCTTGCAGGTAAGAACAAGGCCAAAGGAAAAGACAGGGAAAAAGCATGACATGTGATACTCTTGCTTTTAACCCTGATGATATGAGATACTCTTGCTCTGGTGTGGTTTGGTTGCAGAGGTATTATCGGGAGGAAAAGAAACTGAATATTTCAAGAGACTCTGCTGAGAGTGCCCTCTCAGATGTGAAGAAAAGTTGAGT